ATGGTGAAAAACAATGGGGGTACATCCCAGAGGGATAGAAGAAGAGGTCGGTTGAGCAGGGCATGGCGGTAGGACAGAGCCATCTGCCTCAATCCTCCAGACCCACGGCTGCGCTGGAGTTCATGCTTTCTGCTCTTAAGGCTCTCTGTAACCAACGCAGTGTCATCGACATCTCTGCTCCATGTCTGTGCTCTCTGTTATGGTGGCTCTGAGCCACATGCGGCAGTAATCGTGGAAATGTGAGCAGTGTGATTAAAGAGCTGGCAGTCTCCTTCTTTTTATTTAAATTCAGATGGCTGTGCATGGCTACCCTGGTGGCGCAAATCTAGCCAACGTCCTGTACATGCCCTCCAGGAAACCGAAACTGATGAGGAAGGACCTGGAGTTTGCAGAGCTTCTCCCAGGACAGGAATGTGTACTGGAAACACAGCCCCAGCAAAAAGCTGTCCCTTCCTGGGTGAGGACATTTCCTCCCTCCTGTGTCCAGGTGGCTGGGCCTCCTCCACCCATCCCACAGAGAAAGATTTGGCGCCAACTGTTCACCCGGAGCCAGGTGCTGGGCAAATGTGTGGCTCTTGATGGAAATCTCTGTGGAGCTCTTTCTTTGTTTGCTTTATGTGATGCTAAGAATCGAATCCAGGGCGTCAAGCTTGCTGGACAAGGACAAAGCACCGAGCTCCATTTCCAGCTCGTGGGACTCTTCTTTGTTTTTTGTTTTTTAAGCAAGTAGGCGGTCATGAGTTCGATCCCTGGTACCGATAAAAAGGAAAAAGATCAAAAAAAAAAAAAAAAAAAAAAAAGTGGACCAGCATGGAGCACAGTGGCATGTGCCTAGTCCCAGCTACTTAGGAGGCTGAGGCAGGAGGCTCACTTCAAGGAGTTTGAGACCAGCCTGGATAATAACATCTCAAGACCCCACTTCAAAATGAAAACCAAAGCAAAAAACAAAAAAGGACTTTTAAGTGTCTTGGCCCAGACTCCAGTTCTTCTAATAAGAAGGCATTTTCTGGGAAATTCACGGTGATCAGGTGTCATAACTGAGGTGTGTTGTTTTATACCTCCAGCCTCTGAACTCACTCTGTGCTTACTGAGGCTGCAAGCCTGGAAACTACATCTCCCAAAATTCCTTGCCAGTTTCCTTCCAAATAGATTTGCCAATGGGAGCCAGGGCAGGGGGAGCCAGGGGAAGGGAAGGACTCAATTCTTTTTTATTTATTCATGTTTTATTTTAAAGAGATTAAAACCAAACCAAACGAAACAAAACAATGAAAGCAGTACAGGACTTCAAAACAAGACAATAGGAAACCAACAATGGCTATCATAATATATCTTGTTATCTCCAAAATAGCTGTTCAGATAATCAGACATAATAAAACTAAACAAAACAAATCAGAATAAACCTAAACAAAACAAAACAATGAAAATGACACAGGACTTCAAAACAAGATAATAGGAAATTAACAATGGCTACTATACTGCCTCATGTCTTCAAAATAGCTCTTCAGACCATCAGACATACCCACATAAAATTAACCAAACAATACAAGAATTAAGTAGAAATTTCAGGTGTCTGACTTCTAATTTCTTTTCTGTCTATGTCTCCTGAACTTGTTCTGTGTGTGCTGGGGTCTGACATTGTATTTTGCTCCTTCATCTTGAAATTTTTCTGTGTTTCTCTACATCAGCCCATCGCTGCATCCCGGGTGCTTCCTACATTGGCTGCCGGTCCCTCGCGAGGTGCAGTGGATTGGAAGAGGCACCTGGCTCCTCTGCTCCAGGTTTCCTGTGGGGTGGAGCGTCACTAATGCTCCCCTGAGGGCAGGGGCGCCTCTGGGCGTGGCTTCCTCTCGGGGCTGGCATTGGGCTCTAAGCTATTTCTTTCTAACCATTACATTTCCAAGGTCCTGAAATGGCCAACAGACCCTAGAAAGACTTCTCTTTAGGCTCCTGTTTGAAACCAGCAGCTACAAAAGAACTGCTGGTCTTGATTCAGGGCCAGGGGACTCCATTCGTGTTTCCAGCTGAGGTCTGAGTCACCGGCCAGGCGTCCTGTGAGCCCCGGAAGTATCACTGCAGTTTCACAATGTCCCCTGTGTGGCTTCAACGGAAGCTGCTGCTCCACTTCTTAGGAGCCCTAGGCCCACCTGGCTCACAGCTACCTGGAAGAAAAAACTGTGTTTTCAGATCCCTGTAACACTATAGCGGGTCATGTGACAAACCACAGCCACTGGGAGAGAATGTGAGTGTGGAATTCTGGGGGCCACGTCCTCGGACAGGCAGGATGTATGCACTGTTTCATTTCTAGCTCCTTTGCTGAAACGTGCATGAAACGGTGCAATTTCTTGAGCAGTGGACATTGGTAACACCATGAGGGCTGCTGGGGCCATAAAGGAGAAGTGACCAGACGCCTGCCTGGACTCTTGGAGAGCATGAAATTGTACCCGCTGAAGCTTCTCCGTCAGCAGAGCTGAGCCTGTACCCTAAGGAATATCCCTCAGGTGTGACACAGCGTGGGCCTGGTCCAAAGGAGCCCAGGGGTCTCTGCAGCTTTCTTGCTGAGGCCACTGATGTCCTCTCTGCCACTAAATCCAGGGTGCTCCTTCAGTCCAGTTTTTCTCTTTCCTGGTGGCACTTGGAGCTCATTTCTTCTCAGAACCCTGACACCCTGGGCCTCTACCTCTCACCCTCATTCCAGTCTATTTTACTTTTTCTTCTGCCCATCCTTTGAGTCCTGTTTCCAATCCTCTTCTTATATTTCTACATGCCCAGCTCTGTAGGCTTTGTATTTCATCACCATCCGGAGGCTGAGAACTTCAGGACGGCCCAGGGCACTGCTCTGAGCTCTGGACTCCGAAGACCACTGCCTGGCGGAAACCACCCAGGACACCTCAGGGGCCCTGAAACCCATCTTCTCCTTGCTGAGCGCATCCTCTCTCCCATCCCAGCCTTCTCCTCCTCCTGGGTTCCAGGACTCTGAGGCGGCCTCACTGAAACCCCATCCCAGGGGGCCAACCTGAAACCTGTTGCCATTCAAAGCTTTTTGTCAGTCTTCTGCTTATTCCAGGCAAATGGCAGCTTTTGCTGACTGCTGTCTTAGAGAGATGCTCTCTGGTCTGCCATGCCTCTGTCACCCTTCCCTTCCTGCCTCTGTCACCCCTCATTTCCTCTTCTCCACTCCTGTGACCCAAGTCACTTTTCTGCAGCACAAATTCCTTGACCTGCTCCTCAGGCTCCTGGAACTTAAGCAAACTACTCTAATCTACAAGCAGTAGTGAGACTGAACCTTATCCCTTCTGGAGGCAGAGACTGCAAGAAGTGTCCCGTCCCTCTCCTTTGTCTCCGCAGCCCCTAATTCAAGGGTGTGTGGCCTCCACTGGACACATTACTTACCTCATCTGATCTATGATGAAATAGAAGCCAAAACTCCCAGGGTTTCTTTCTTTTTTATTTTTATTTTGTAAGTGAGGTTGATTTGCACTTGCTTTGTTCATGGGCCTGGCTTGGTAAACACAAGTTCTCCTTGTCAGAAAAGCAGATATTCAAATAGAGGGTGGCTGTCCATGCGGGTCTGGCCTGCTAGGGGTCTAAAACATCCTAGGACTCACAGCCTTTCAAACTGAAAGGAAGATAAGGGCAAGCTGATGGAGATAAAACACAGCTGGGCCACAGCTGGAGACTCCAACAGGGAGGAGAGTGGTAGGTAAACAGAACCGAAGTTCTCGGGACTCCCCAGCCTCACTGGGGCCTCACTGGTCTTGGCTATAAGCAAGGCCACAGGGAGCCCCTCCTTAGCACTGCTGTAGGCCGGTGGTCTGCATCTACTGGGTGCGAATTGTGGGTGGATCATGAGGTCAGTTTGGTAGCTTTGCCTACCATTAAAATAAAACAAAACACCAGAATAGAGAATAATGGAATCCACTGCCTGAACAGTGTGGTTTTAGGAAACGTTTTGTTCCATTTATCACATGGTATCATGAAATCCCCTGGTGCAGACTGAGCTGGGGTGGCTTGTGCATCTGGGCAGATGTGGCCAGCAGTGGGGAGCACAGAGCTGGGCAGTGGGCTTCTGGTTGTGGTGGGCAGGGCTGGAACATTAGCTTCATCTAGAAAAGCTCTTGAGAGGACACGGAAAGGGAAAGGGTGCCTGGGTGGGGGAATGTGGACGGGGTCAAGAAGCATCAGTGGTGCTTGTACTGTTAGGGTGATGGTTAAGATGGCACTGAAGCAGAGGTCTGCAGAAGGTGAGAGGGGCTACCTGGACCCTCGTCCTCATGAAATCAAAACACTGAAACCTTCATCTGTGGAGCGTGTTATACTGTTCACTTCTCCTAAGTTTTCTGGGAAGTGTGTGGGTGGTATCATTAGCCTATTTCACAGATGGGGAAACTGAGGAGCTGCACCAGTCCAGTGACTGCCAGGTTCAGAACCAGAGTCCAGATCTCCTTGTTTCTAAGTAGGTGCTTTTCTCAGCCCACAATAATGTGTTCTGTGTTATCTTGGGTTTATTTTGGGAACAGGGTGTTAGTATGCAGCCCAGGCTGGCCTCAAACTTGCAGTCCTCATGCTTCAACCTCCCAAGGGCTGGGGTGACAGGTGTGTGCCACCACACCCAGATACAGTGCTTTGTTGATAGTGTAGGTTCAAGACCATGGCTGACCCGTAGAATCACCTGGGCAACTTCAAAACAAAAATAATAGTAAATATCCCAACAAAAACAACAATTATAATAATAGCCCAGTGCTGTCTCATTTCTCCTAGACCCATGGAATCAGAAACTCTGAGTGGGCCGGGGCCTCTGTGCTCTTTGAAGAGAGTAAAGAGCACAGCCAGCCCGGAGCCCACGACCATCATTTGGCCTGGGTGACCTGGGCTCGATTGGAGTCCCTGGCTCTGGAGCAGGGCTCCTTGTGGCTGCCATCAGCTTCCAGGCACTGCAGAAAAGAGATGGAACAGGAAGGAGGAAAGAGGTGGCATGTCACACACAGAAAGCAAACAGTGCAGGGGGTGGCAGGCTGCATTTTATTCATCCTTAGTTGAATCACCCTTCCAGCCCTCTCTTGAAGGGTCACTTGGAAAAGAACCACCTGCCATTCCAGAACCCCCGCAGGCTTGCCACATGCTCCAGCCCCCATCCTGAGTGAGAGTCATAAAGCCAGGACCAGCTTCTGTAGGGAGGCAGGCTCGGCCAGGTCAGTGCCCAAGCTCGTTTTCCATGGCACAGCTGCTCCAGGAGTCTGAGGGTGGACAGCTGCTCCACGCCAAGAGTCCAGGCCCCAATCCATGTTGCTGAGCCTTTTGGGGCTCAGAAGTGGCATCAGCAGGGTTCCACCCCATCCCACCCAGCACAGCAGCCTTCAGGAGTGTTAGGTTGTAGTTACACCACACAACCACTGCTGCGACAGATGACAAAGACCTGGTGCCTCTTCAGGACCCAGAAGGGCCCAAGGTGCTATCCAGACATGATTTCCAGATGGAATGGAGAATTGTGCTTTTTGTGTTTTAAGAGTAAAAAGTTACAGTAAGACAGAAAAGCTCACCTCTCACCTCCTGTGGCCGCCCCTTCAGGGGGCTTAGGTCTGCCTCAGCTCCCTGGAAGCTTCTTCCAGGTCGGGGGTTTAGCACCCCTTCCTTGCCCCAGAGGCTGTGGAAAGCGGGGTTTTCTGGGGGTCTGTCTAAGGGACAGAGGCTCCTGAGGCCTGGAGCAGTGATTTTTTTTCAGGGTTGGACTTGGGGTACAGCTGATGGCTTCTAGGTAAAACACAAAAGCTCCCCAAGGCCCTTGAGAAACTCTGGAAAGTGAAACATGAGAAACCTTTCTTGTTTTTTTGTGGCACTGGGGTTTGAACCCAGGGGCACTGTACTACTGAGCCACATTCCCATCCCTTTTTGCTTTTTATTTTGAAACAGAGTCTCACTAAGTTGCCCAGGCTGGCCTTCATCTTGTGATACCCTGCCTCAGCCTCCTGAATAGTTGGGGATTATAGGCATGCACCAATACACAAGGCTGGCATCTTTCTTCTTCAAGTGTCCTGGACTAGGATTGTCTAGGGGGAAGAGGCCTGGGAGCTCTTGGTAAGGCTGCAGTGTGCACGTGTGCATGCTTGTCCATGATGCTGCATAAATGCCTGGTTGTGATACTTTCCACCAGCTGAGGGCCTAAGACCTCCTGAGCCTTTGGATCCTTCCCCAGGCCTGGGGCCTCAGGCTTTACTCTGAGGCTGAGGAGACTGACCCTTCACCTGCCCGCTCAACCCTGCAAAGGCCTAGTTTGAACACCCTGGCTCCTGTGCAGCCGCAGCTGGGTGGTAAGAGCGCATTGGGACCACACTGCTTTATGGCAGCCATAGGCTCGGCATGTGGTAGGGAATGGGCCTGAAGTGGGGGAGCAGCTCTGCGAGCTGAGCAATTTGCCGGCTGCAGTTAGCTACCAGCTGTGGTCAACTAGAGGCCTCCCTGGTGGTGGGGGAGGCGTTGGCAGCTGGGAAAATGGAGGCCTTCTTAGCCTGAGGTTCTGAAGGACCTGCATAGGGTCTCTGTCAATGTCACTGGTCTCCAGATGCTGGAAGGGACCTATCCCTTCTCAGTGCTTACCCTCACGCATGGGCCAAACTATCTGTCCCTTATAGCTCATAAGTCTCCTGACCCAGGACGTCAGGGTTCATGGGAACTGTACCCCAGGCCTTCTGGGAAGGATGACAGTATGCTGTAGTAGGCAGTGCCACTGAGGTTGGGGTGGGGACCAGGGGAATGTAGACACAAATGCTCATGTGACCCTGAATCCTGAGCCATCATTCTGTCTTAGAGGACTAGCATTTCTCTAGGAAACTGTCAAAGGGAAGGGAGGTGGGATTCAAACCATGCTATGGTTCTGTTAGAAGCCTGCTCAAACTGCCCATCATTGCTACCTTCCAAAGCCAGGGTGCAGGAAAGGAAATAAAAAACAGCTAAGGTTGCAGCATAAGCAACTTAGGGCAGACAGAGGAGACAGCTAAGGAACATGCTGCCTTTCTCTGGAGGCAGGTCCTGGTCTTCCCCACGGACTCAGCCTGCCATGCGTGCTGGCTGCTCGCTGGGCAGCACAAACACCTCATTATGTCGGTCTAGCTGTGGAGTCTTGGAGCTCGGCCTTAGGCCTAGAGTGTCGTTGCCAACTCTCTTCCCCTGGGTGGGCTGCTATTTTGCCTGCAGACTAAGTCCTCAAGGTCCAGATACCCCTACCATGGGATCTCCACTTTCCCTTTGGGATGGCTCAGATCCCCAGTCACTCTCTGTTGCCTAGGTGATATCTCTAATTGGATGCTTTTCAGTGGTTCCTGCTTTTAAAGGGATAGATCTGGAACTTGATTTTAAGTCCTGTGACAGGGCCTGTACTAAAGACACATGCTCCCCGGTGTGTGCCCCTTTCGTGTGACTGCAGCCACCATTTAGACGGGGGTTCACAGTCCAGGAGCTACAGCTCCCCCAGGAGCCTACTGCCTACCCCTCACTGGCTTTACCCCAGATCGTGTGTTTAAAACACAATCCCAACCTGCTTAGAAATTATCTCCAAGGGGCTTGAGAGTCCCAGAGACTCCAACTCATTTTCCCTCCTGCTGTAAATTGGGAGTCTTGACTTTCAAGCACGACTCTTAATACTGTTTGCATGTGAGCACGCGCATGTGAGTGTGGACATGTGCGTGTGTGCTACAGACACAGTGCCAATGAGGGAGGGGTCACGGCACTGCCGGAGACAGGCAAGCTGGTGCTTTTCTAACACTTCATGTCAAATGTGGTCACATCGTGTCCTTTGGGTCAACATTTCTTTAAGTAAAAAACAAGAGTGGAAAAGCACTGTTTCAAAGCACATTCTCCATCCCTAGACCCACAAGTTGCAGAGTCCAGGAGAATCTGTCCCTCAGCTTAAGGATCACACACACCATGACGATAACCCTCAAGTTCTTTTCCCGGCTGCCAGCTCCCTGCCTCCTACCTCTCTCCACCCCCACTGCAGACTGCACTGAAGACATGCACTCCTTGATTCTGTCCTTCCGTGCCCTCCACAGGCTCTGGAGCCAAAAGCCCTGATATTTGTAGATGGCTGCTTTGGATTCCTGGTGTAGTTAGCAGCAACCTGACTCACAGGGACGGGGGTGGGGGGCTGTGCTCTTTAAAAAGGAAAAAAGTTGAACTGATCAACAGTAGTTAAAAAAAAAAAAAACCCTCTTGTTCGAGACGTGTCACACAGTTTCATCAATAATGCAGAGAATTCCTGCGCGTGGATAGATCTCGCAAGTGTGGGGGGACTGGGGGGCTCTGGATGAAGCAGAGCTAGGACCCTGTGCCTGAGGACTCGCTCTCCTCCTGAGCTGGTTGCCGCCCTGTGTGCTGTGCCGATCGTGCGATCTCTGGGCTGGGAAAGGCCAGCTAAGCCCCTTACCATTTGCAATTTCCAAATGTGGGGGAAATGCCACAGTCCGCAAGTGGGTGCTATGCCTCATCTCCTTGCATAATACTACAGCATTCTCTGTGTGTAGTGGCTCTTCTATATATACACACACGGGAGGCAACATATGGCTGTCCCCACCCCCACCTGTCAAAACTGTGACTATCTCACTTCTGACGACCAGAAGGAAGCTGCTAGGCTGGGCCAGGATTCTAAATGCTGCGGAGGTAATTCGGAGCCATGAAAAGATGCACCATATGCTTTGGGGTTGCCAGCTGCTTATGAGGATGAGAAAGGGTTTGGTGCCAGTCTGCAGAGCCCGGGAGTGGCGTTCTCCCTGCTGCAGCTCCCGCCAGGTGGGCGCCTTGGGGTGCCACTTTTTCTCCCTGGAGAACCCGCTGGATGGGGACCGCGGTTCTCCAAGAGGGGACTCACGAGGGAGGCAGGATCCTCTAAAATCTGCCCTTCATAACATCGGACCTGGCCAAATAGCATTTCTTTAAAAATAAAATTTTTTTTGGTTTCATTTTATTGGATAAAGATTAAGAAAGCGCCAGCTCCGGAGAGCGCTCTACCTGGCGGCACTGGTCTCCGCCAGCCGGTTGTTCATGATGCCCAGCGCGCCCACGCCGCCCGAGAAGCCGTTCTGGCGCGCGGGAACGCACGCGCCGCGCGGGTGGCCGTTGGCTGTCTCCGACAGCTGCTTCTGCAGCAGCGCCAGCGACACCTTGTTGGAGGCCGTGAGATCGCGCATGGAGATGAGCTCGCCCGACAGGCGGCGGCCCTCGGCGTCCGGGTCGCGCGGCACGGGGCGGGCTCCGAGCGCGGCCAGGCGGCGGCGCAGGCGCGAGCCCGGCGTGATGGCGTTGCGCCGGGCCAGGGGCGCGCCGGGCGCCGGGCAGCAGCGCGCGCAGCAGGCGCAGCTCAGCTTGCGCAGCATCCAGTTGAGCACCTGCTTGATCAGGATGGAGACGACGTTGAAGAGCGAGTAGATGCAGCACACGCCGAGCAGAATGAAGAGGAAGTTGCCTAGGCGGTAGAGGCCCTGGTGGCGGTAGGCGGCGCGCTGGCTGCTCACCAGGTCCCCGAAGCCGATCGTGCTGAAGGTGACGAAGCAGAAGTAAAGCGAGTCCACGTAGCCCCAGCCCTCAACGCTGGCGTACATGGCCGAGGCGCAGCAGGACAGCAGCACTGCGAAGAGGCCCAGGATGAGCAGCACGTGGTACACCGAGGGCTTCCAGCCCGCCAGCCCGTCGGCCTCGGGGCGCAGCGGTGCGGGCAGCAGCCCACTGCGGCGCAGGCGGCGCTCACGGCATGCGCGCATCACGAAGGCCAGCAGCGAGATGATGCGCTCCAAGAAGAGGTTGAAGAACAAGATAGTCCCCGCGCAGCCGAACAGCCCGTAGGCAATGAGGAAGGCCTTTCCGCCCACGGTGGCAGGCGTGGTCATCCCGAAACCTGCGGGGACACAGACACATGGGGTCGGCGATGGCGGAGTGTCCAGGACGCACGGGGGTGGAGCAGGCGGGGTGGAAGTGGGGACTTAGCCATCCCCAGATGGTACTAGATATGTTTCTATTCTTGCTTGCCTCTGTACTGATGGAGATGTACTGGGGTTGGGGGTGGGGGTGTCCAATCAACCAACAAGGATGGGGCCAGAGGGTCACCCGAAAGGCCCTGCGGCATGCAAAGAGCAGAAACTATTCACAGGCACATACCCTCAGATGGCCACAAAGTCAACGAGGGAGGTGGGGCTTTTGCACCTCCACCCTAACAGACTTTTAAAAGTAACCAGGGAACACTTGATCGGACAGCCTCCTTAGGATAAAATTCCATAAAACTTTCACCTTAGCTAGGCTTGCTCACTCAAGGACCCTAGAGAGTGGGATCAAGTGGCCACTGTCCATGGTTCCAGAAAAAGGCTTTATGTAGTCGACAAAAGGACTGCAAGTGAGTCCACCAACAGCCTTCAGAGTGTGACTGTGACTCTGCCACTGAGTGTCAGTCCCTTCTTCAAGGACCTCCATCAATGCCCCATGCTCACACTGGCCCAGGGAAAAAGGCTTTGGCTTAGCTGGTGTTGTCTGAGGTTCTATCCTGGGCAGTGCTGCCTGGGCTTGGGCAGCTACTTATACTTTTTAATATCTATAGTTAAGCCTTAGTCTACACATGTTTAAAGCATTAGCTTTAAAAGTATCAATTGATTTCTGCAGGAGTGCTTGCCTGTGCCACTCAGGGCATTGCAGAGGGGTGGTCCTGTCCTTCCTTCCTGAGCTCACTGCCCACTGCCTGCTATGGTCTCTTTGTGGGACCCAGGGTTGTTTTACAGGTTATGGAGGGGATTTAATCTCCGGATGGGGGAATTCATTTGCTGTTTAGGCTGAAAGTGGGCCTGTGTGAGCAGTCTGTGGCACCTTTCAACACCTCTGGCAGCAAAACTTTAGGGTCATTCCTGCTTAATTCATACCTGTGCATTGCCAGTTGGGTAGAGCCAGCCCCAGAAAAGGCGTGAAGAGTTTGCCTAAACAGGCCAAAAAAGAAAACACTTTTTTATTTTTTTGTCTTTTTCGTTTTTATCGGTACCAGGAATCGAACTCACGACTGCCTGCTAGCAAGGCAGGCGCTTATGCCGCTGAGCTAAATCCCCAGCCCCAGAAAACACTTTTTATAATGCTATACTTTCAGAGTATATTTCTAAGATGTATATGTTTAATCATTCTCTAGATAACCTGCAGAAAACGCCCAATTGTTTGACCATGGTATTCATTTTGTTTAATGACCCAAGTCTGGGGAAAAATCTTAAGCTATTACTTATGTTGAGGAACATGAATTATGTCCCTACAATCAGAATTTGCCAAAAAAGAGTAGAAAAAACAACAAACTAGCAGTCACCCTGAGACTTGATAAAGAGATTTTCCTATGGGTTGTTTTTTGTTTTGTTTTGAGACAGGTTCTCACTATGTGGTTCAGGTGGCCTTGAACCTCGCTATTTAGCCCAGGATGACTTTGTGGTAATCCTCTGGCCTCAGCCTCCTGAGTACTGAGATTACAGGCATATGGCACTATACCTGGCTATTTGAAAGGCAAACTCAAGTTCTTGAGTTTAGCAGGTTCTATATTCTGTAATTCTTGCATTCTCTTGAAAGGCTTCACACTGCCTAGATACGCTTGATATTATAGCACGCGAAGTTACACTCAAATAATTTAAGGAAAGAGGCACTATGGTGACTACTATTATGTTAGATTATCTGGTGGTGAAACACAATGATGCTTGAATTGCTCGGTTCTGCCCTGTGTTGTTCTATTACAATGTCCTCTCTTATCTCAATCTTCCCCCTATTTTTAAATTAATCTATTTTCTCTCATTTTTTTAATTAAGGGAAAACTAAATTAAAGAATAATGAGACATATTATAGTAACCTTTTTGTTGTCCTATTAACCTGACTTGAACCCCAGTATTGCTCTTCCCATCTTATTCTGTCTGATTATTATATATTCTATTTTGTTTGATAGTATCAAGTTTAAGGGTATAGGCAATCACTTTGAAGGGAATAAGATATATTATGATGCCCAATATGGATTGACTATCATCTTTTTTTTTTTTTTGAAGTCCTGTAAGGTCCTCAGTGTAGATTTTATTGGTTTTGTTCCATATTGTTTTGATCAATTCTATTATACCTGATGATATAGACAACTCAATTTGAAAATAGCAAGAGGCACAATAGTAACCACTTTTGATCACCTGGTATTCTATTTTTGCATCATGTGCTATGCCCACCCTTCTGTTCTAACTGACTCTGTTTTGCTTAGTCACATTTGTTTTTATTCTCTTCAAAAAAGTAATAAGAACCGTGAGAGTAATAAAACCCTAAAAGTCTAATTGTTACTGTAAAAAAAGAGAGGAAAGTAAGGTGGACTAAGGGATATAACCGCAGGTATGTTCGAGAGTGTGGGACAGAAAACCATATAACTGAGCTTTTGTTAGATCATTGAACGGAACTGTCTCCAATTCTGCTGTATGAATGTTTACTTTATATGCTTTAATTTAGTGATATGGACAACTGTTTTTGGGAAGATAATGTGTAGCCTGATAACTGGTGATTTCGTACTGTATATATTTTTTTCTAGAAATACTGTATTATTTGTACCCTTTTACTGCATTGTTTTTTATGTCCTTTCTTTTTTTTTCTTCTCTCTTTAAATAAAAAAAAAGTTCTTGAGTTCATAAAGAAATCAGCATTGAATTTATATGGCTGTACGTGGAATGGGAGTGTGTTTGTTAAAAGTACTGGACTGAGAACTCATATGTCCTGCAACATAACTAAATCATGGTCTATTCATTATAAAGCAATGCTACACAGTATGAAAAAGCAAGAACAACAACAAAAAAGCATGAACCACAGCTACTCACAACATGGGTGAGTCTCCCCAAAGAATGTTAAACAAAGAAACTACACAAAGTGATACATTCTGCACTGCTCCATTATCAGAAAATCTCATCAGGAAAAAACAAGTGACAGTACTTTTTAGGGATGTATATACTTGATCAAATTATGAGGAAAAGTGAGATAGTGATTTTGATGAAAGTCAGAGCTGGGATTTCCTCTGGGTGATGCCAGGGTACCTGGGGCCTGAGGGGTGCTGGACTGTTCTTTTGACCAGGAGCCAGCTGTGTAGGATTTGTCAAATTATGTGCTTCATGAGTTTTCTGTAGTCTGATGATAAAAATGGCTTAAATTTGTAGGCTGTTAAAAAGTGCAGGAGACCTTAATTCAGTTTTCCCCTTCATTGTGTTGGTGAGGAAGGGCAGAAGGGACATGCCTCATAGCTTGCTTGGGGACAGACTGGGATCTCTTGGTTCTAGTTTTGAGCCTGGTGCCTTAGGCTGATGTACACAACACTGCTTCTATCCTTTGAGGGAATCAAAACCTCCAGTAGCCAGATGATTTTGTAAATTCCTAAAGAAACTGAAAATCCTGACCCCACAATATGAATGCTTTGTCTTGCTAAAAACTGTTGAGTGGGACTTTCTTACTCTTCAGGATTTTTAGCTAAAGTTTTAAAGCTACAAATACAATGGTTTGTGTCTCCCCATTGTGAAGAGAAGCTCTAGACACATCCATGTGGGACTCAAGAATCAGCAAAGTGCGTCTGGTCACCTGCATCCCTCTGACTCCCCAGGCTGTACTGGAGGCTGGAAATTGTCCTGGGGTTGGTGGTGATGGGCATGAGGTGCAGTGCTGATGCATCCTCCTGTGCCAGGCCATGTCATGGTTGCAGGGCTGCAGCAAGAGGTTAGTCCAGGCTTACTTCCCAGTGGGATGCTGCTGAGCTGCTGGCTGGGACATGGGGAGAGTCCTGTGAGCCAGCCAGGGTCCTCTGACACACGCCTGAAGCTGTGCTGGTGAGCTGTCAGGGTGAGAGGCTCGCAGGGCTGTCACACAGCAGAGCAGAGAAGGGCAGCGATGGGGGTGTTCTACCCTCTAGAGTGTTGTAGTCTGCATCTTTCTTTTCTTCTTTAGGGAGGATTGAACACAAGATCTTGTACCTGCTAACTGTGGGCTCCACCACCAAGCTGGACCCCCAGCTCCCAGGGGAGCAGGGCTGCTCCCCCAATCCCCTCCTATCTGCTACCTTACTACAGGCTCAAAGCAATGGGGCCAAACAGCATGCACTTAAACCTCTGAAGCCGTGAGCTAAAATAATACTCCTTTGTAAGTTCACTGTCAAGTAATTCATTATGTGACAGGAAACGAATGCATCGTGTTTATAGCCTCAGGGTATAGGGGAGTAACAGGGGTCAGGTGGACCTGAAAGGAGAGATTTGGGGAACATCCCAAAGGGCCACGTTCTGGAACCTGAGGTGACAGCAGTCAGAGGCTGGGGACCAGGGGTTTGGGAACCTCATAAGAGGTAACTCAGAGAGGAGATGGAGGGGGAACACCCACTCGGGGAGGGGGATTCTGAAGGATTTCAGCTCAGCTCCATGAAAGAGTTGCCTGTTTTAACTGTGGACATCTCAGTACCACCAGCAAAGCTAAGAAAAAATGGATGTGGCCCCGTAATGAAAGACCAAGGCAAACACTGCCACGTCCCCTGCCCACACCGCAAGCTCCTGAGGCACGGGCCAGGCAAGAGCTGCAGGAAGAGGATAAACTTTGAGAGAAGTGAATTTCAAGATTGGATTTATTTTTTATTTTTATTTTTTTAGGTATGGGGAATTGAACTCAAGACCTTGCACTTGCCAGGCAGGCGCTTATGCTGCTGAGCTATATCCCCGGCTCCTGAAGCCTGGATTTAACATCCAACAATAAGACTCACATTCAGGGGCTGAGGATTTAGCTCAGTGGCATAAGCACCTGCCTTGCAAGCAGGCGGTCGTGAGTTCGATCCCCGGTACCAAAGATTCACATTCAAGACTAACACTTTTCCTCCAAAAAACCAAACTACTTGGAAGT